GGATAATAAAGTGATAGCAGTTGAATTTGGTTCACTCACTTTTAATAATGTTCCTCTCCCTACATTATCACCTGGTGGGTATCATGGTTTTGTAGATACAGATTTAATTATTTGTAGTTTGTATTCTAAATGATAGATTGAGCAAAGCCAATATTCTATTTAAAGTTTAAAACTGAGAATTTGTATCACTGTTATATTTGTCTTAATACACTTTTTTAATTAAGCAAAAAAAATATATTGTTCCATTACATATTACAATAATTTGATAAGACAATGATTTTTAAAAATTATGATTGATTGTTGAAACATTGTCTTTAGATTAAACAATTGAACAATACAAAAACTTTATGTAAAGTTCATCTCAAATTATGTGCGAAAATAATCACACAAGGTTTAAATATATAATAAAGTTGTTTATTATAAATTACAAGGACTTGATAGTTGATTTTATCATGAAATGAACTTGTTAGAGTTATAGTCTAAATATATTCTAAATAGGTTTGGCCCTACTACTATTTTAAAACATATATATATATTAAATACATTTTTTTTTCTCTGAAATCCATTCTCCATATTTCATTCAGAATCTGTGTGTACAAATGTTACATTTTGTTTTATCAGTTGCTGTAACCTTTTGACTGTTATTCAGATTTTTTAAATTTTTTAGTTTGTGAACTTTCTTACTTTTTTATATATTTAAAATTATGTATATTGTGTTATCAATAGAGATTGAGAAAACCAGAGAAAATAATGCCTCCATCATTGCTGGTGTTGTTGGAGGAGTGGTAGTGGTTTTAACGATAACAGTCACTCTATTAGTTGTGATAAGAAAGAAAATGGCAGAAGGAAAAGTAGAGCCAGATATGGTAAGATCTTTAAAAAGTATTAACAGATGATAACAGAAACTTTTAACAGATGATATGATTCAAACTTATACGTTGAAATGAGGATTTCATGTTGTTTAAATCCCCATAAAATTTAAATTTCCTCTTAGGTTGTCACATAGTAATACATTTTATGAATAAATTTATATTGAATTTTAAACATAATCTTTAATTTTTTGCAGACACCAGTCATACTACAGGGGATTGTTTTATGCTTTGCTAATATCACAGTATTAAAGTATTTTTCCAATACGGTACTTCCCACTTCTCACAAGATTAGCTTTTCCTGTTTTGTGCTGCCCTCTATATGGAACCTTTTTTTTAAAAGGCATGCCACAAGCCTTCTGTACTACCTTATTGGAATAAAAGATTCCAACATGTCTCTCAATGAAAATCATCGTGTGTCATCTGTCCACCAATAGGAAAGCACTACTATCACGTGATGCATGTGACTCCCTCTATGTGCCACTTGAGTTGTGCTTGAGTTCAAACATATTTATTTTTGCTCATTACTTCTCAAAGTGGTTTAACTTAATTCAATTTACTTTATTTCAAGAATATTTTTTTCACTTGAAAGGGTTTGATTTGCTGCAAATTTGTTGATTGTATATTTGTTATCAAGCATGTATTCCGAAGTTAACATTACCACTTTGGATATATCTCATTCACCTGATGCCATACTTTAGGCCACATGTGTGGGCAACCTGTCGGGGGATTTATTGGCCTTTATTCGCAGGGACATTGAGCATTATATGGGACAACCTTTGTCTCTTGCTGTTGCCCTCTTCCTCCTGAGCCTTTCAAGCCTGGCCAGGGTGATAAGGATTTTGATCGTTTGTTCCCCTCCCCCCAGAGTCCTTCGTGCCTTCCCAAACCATACCTGAGGATTCTTTTCAGCCCTCGTCGGCTTTCTCGGATTTTATTTCTCATATATTTGATGTTTTATCTATTGCTCCTATTTCTTATGTCACACATCCTTCCCTATTATGTGCTTCTGCCTCCAAACCTTATTTAGTTTTTACTCCTGCCCCCTGATATTCGGGTTCACACTGAGCACTTCAACTCCCAGTTAAGTGATAGCATTAGTATGTCTTTTCCTCCACAGGCTTCAGATCAGTCCACTCCCACTTATCATAGGGCAGACTGTCCATATCTGGACCAACAATTATTGGGCTTAGTTTTGCTTGTTTGGGAGGTGGGACCAGAATCTCCAGTTCATCTTACCCATGCCCAATATTCCAATCTTCATATTACCCTGACGATTCTTTTGTGGTACCTCTCCTCAATTCATCTCCTGTATGAGGCTCTTCACAGGAACCCTGAGAGGTTTTCTGGGGACGTCCTCTCCCTCCTCACTTCCACGTTGGCTTGCTTGTCATCTTTGGCTTTGGCTCTGCAAATGTGGTTTATTTGTTCTTGGGACCTTTCGGGTCATGATGCCATATTGTCACGGATTTGTCTCCCAGCTCCTTATCTACAGGACCTTGGTATTGCCCCATCTTTGAGACATTTCGTGTTTAACACAATTTTGGAGTCTCTGAATCGAGGGTGGCTTCAGTCCAACAACAATGCATCCTTTCTTATCTCGTGGTCCATTTGTCCCAGTCTCCTGACCCTCCCATTCCCAGCCCTTGCCTGTTCCTCCTTCCCATGTTGCCACTGTTTGTCGTTTTTCTCGACAATGCATGGTACACCAACAACAGATCCTGTGCCTACTTGGTGTGTTTGGGTCTGGTTTGAGCTTGTCTGGCAACCTTCATTCATCGGTGGAGCCCTTTCATTTACGATGTTTGTGTTCACAGAGTTTTGTAAGAGGGATTTGTCATACCCATTTTTACCCTTCCTCCCTTGTCCCACATGCCTGTTTCCTTTCCTCCTTCTTTGGATCCCTTGTCATGCTAGCATCTGTCCAAGGTGGTGCAAAACATCCTTACACAACAGGCTATCAAACCTGCTTCACGTGGTTCATGGTAGTTTTTACTCTCACCCAAAAAGATCAGGGACTGGAGGCCAATCATCGACCTGCCCTTCTAAATCAGTATGTTCACATCACATGCTTCACCATGGAATCCTACTTTACTTTTCAGCGAGTTTTTTCTCCAGGTCTTTGTATGACCAAGGTGGATGTCTCCAACGTTTATCTGCATATTCCCATCTGGAGCATTCTCGTCCTTATCTTCAATTTGTCCATCGTGGGGTGGTGTACCAGTGTTGTACCCTACCCTTCGGGCTGGCTTTAGTACCATATATTTTCTGGTGGGTGGTGCAAACCTTTGCTCTACATCTTCATGCCCTGGGTTT